TTCTTTCTTTCTTTCTTTCTTTCTTTCTTTCTTTCTTTCTTTCTTTCTTCTTTCTTTCTTCTTTCTTTTTTTCTGTATGGTGCATGTGCTTGCAGAAGAGGGATGGAGAGACACACACAGGGAAGATCAGAGATAAATCACCCCCTAGGGGATATGACCACACTGCAATTCCATCTCTTCCATTCTCCTTTTGGATTTTGGGCATGCACATACATGTGCCTGGTGTATTTCTCCATCTGTCAGGTCTGGGCTTCAAACCGCTCAGCTGGCCATGTGGATTCCAAATGCTTTACTATCCCTACCTGCTGGACCAGAAGTTCATATTTTCTCTTCCCTCTCTTTCAGACGAACTCCAGGCCACCCTCAGTAAGTCCTGCGTCCCCCCGCCCTCCCCGTGTCCCCTTCTCAGCAGACGTTCTGATCCCAGCTCACCTTGTCCTGTGTGTTCCTTTCAGGGGAGAGGAAAGCAGCTTACCTGGCTGGTGAGTGACCCTCCAGGTGTCCTCGTTTCTCACCCACCTGTGCCCAGGTCCCCTGTCCTTGTTTCTGTCTGGGCTCAGCCGTGTGCTCCCTGTCCCCCCACCCTGGGAGCAGAAGTGGAAGCTGCTGGGAGTGAGACCCTGCTCCATGGCTCTCCACATCTGGGCCACTGCTCCTGCTTGGGGACCTGGGGGTGATGGTGACCCCCGAGTTCTATTGTACATCCTGGGTCTTCTCATCCCCACCTGACCTATCCACATATTGGCAGTTTTCTAGCCTTTAGTGCATCCAACTTCTGGTCCGCACCTGGAAACTGAAAGCCAGATGCTCTGATGATATTTCCTTAAATGAGCTGTGTAAGTAAATGGCGTCATCCAGTTCAGGAGTGTGACCTCTCACCTCCTCTCCCCAGAACACCATCCAGGGAGAGTCGTTCCTCTTCCAGCTCCTGAAGGTGCTAATTAAAACGTGACAGGGTGAGGACTGGGTGCTGGCTGGGGTGGAGTGTCCCAGGGCCGAGTTGATGCTCCCTGGAATAGTGACGCTCATCTCTAGCAACAAAAGAGTGGCCACTTTTACCCCAGAGTTTGTTTTATATTTCTGTGCTTAAATTGTTCCCCTTTTTCAGTTATTTTACAAATAAATGTTTGCCAGGAAAAAAAAAATGGTTATAATAATGCTTTCTTCTGGTTATGAAGAACTTGTAAGAGTTTGGGGAATATAATTCATATTTTATTGCCTAAACTATTTTCACACATAGTTTAATGTTTGATTTTTGGCAGCAAAACTGTATGTAGATAGAATAGAATTTTTTCCAGTTTTTGAGCCCAGAGCAGCCAAGTGACTTGCCTAGAGTCACACAGAAGCATCAGGACAGGGTGGCGCAGGGTGGAGCTGTCTGTGATGTGGGCGTCCCGAGCTGTGTCCAGGGAGGTTCCCACCACCCCCTCTCTCCCTGCACATTGCAGGGGGCTGTTCCTCTCCAGCCTCCCTCCTCACACAGATAGTCTCACCTTTAAACAACGGGGAGCTAGGACCAGTGCATTCACTGTGCGGGGCTTGTCCTGGCCGAGGTCTCACCAGCTGTGTTCCCTTTCAGCCTGGAGGAAGGCCCAGCTGTACGGGGGTAAGTGACTGAGTCTCCTCTGGCCTTCCCTACCCGCCGTGGCCCTGCCCCTCTCCC